AGTTTTATTCATAAGTGTCTAATTCATCCCATAACAGCTCAAGCCCTCTTGCATACAAAATCTTGCTCACATTAACTGGCTTGTCACGCACCCACCCGAGGACCATACCCCACATCTTTCCCTGCACGAGAAGTGCCCGATATTTTCGGACTTCAATTATGGGACTGCCATCCGTCTGTGTACCGTCAAATGTAGGATGCAGTCAATGAATAATGAAGCAAACCATCGATGGAAAATAGGCCCGTTATCAAACCTTGCAAGGAAAGAAGTATCAGAATAAATATTGGGATAGCACTCACCCCAGTCAAACGACGCAAGCCTTCCAACTATCTGCAACGAGTCAGATAATCATTTCCACACTCGTTGAACATCAATCAACGTATCGGCCACTTGACATCGCGACTCCATGACACGGCAATCATAGAGTAATACCGTGTTCATGTGCGCTGCATGTAACACGACCTACAATGTCTCCCCGAGCTATGGTACATTTAATATAAGGTGATCATAACTCACCTTGGGCCATCCGTAAATAGTTTCTTCTCAAAACAAGGTGGGTTCACTTGGTGCGCCAGGACCAAGTGTGCCCAATGTCCGCATGCTGATTGTCATATGTGTTGAACTAAAGAGCGTGGACGATGTCTCTCAATGTTGTCCCATTAGAGACCTTCCATATTTGTTCTATAGACGAACGGGGTGTGAGAGCTAGTATCCGCGATCCGTCAGAAGGCATAGCACAAGATATCAGTTGCAAGATACATCAGTTCCGAGACGCGAGTGCGAGCGTGCCCTGAACCAGTGTTCTGAAAGCAGAACAGAAACGGCGGGCGCAGAGCAACGAGAATGGCGGTGTTCCCACGCTGGTATAAACAACGCCCAGTTAATTCCACCGGCGGAAGCAGACAGAAGCCTCAGAATTGACTCTTTGTGGACCAGTATCTGCCAAGAAAGCACGTCGCACAGGTAGACAGCATTGAACAAGATGCAGTAGTGTGTTTGAGGAGTGCCAGAGGTACAGAGAGCCCAAAGACGGCGAGGCGCGCAACATCGAGATGGTGGCAGAAAGAAAGAAATTGTTGACGTGTCTGAGGTGCGGATCAGCCTCGAGGGCACCATCGAAAGCAAATATAACACACCGCCGGCGGCCTGAAAAGGCGAAAGGTTAGTTGTTACGTTTGGTTTTCGTTGAATCCAAGTGTTCGGACTGCGGCAAAGACAAGGATTGGATTGCTAAGTACAAAACACAGAGGCATACGAGAAGTATTCGCCAGACTGCGTCCGCAAGAGCTATCCAACGGAAAATAAAATACCTAGGACGTATTGACAACACAACAGCTGGTCGATGAGAACGCGCATAACGGAATATGCCTTTGGAGACGCGGAACGTTCAAGAGGATTATCAGTCGAGCCAGGAGCCAATGAGAAAGACAAACACACCGGAAATCACTTCGTACTTGCTGCTCAAACGGGTCCACCTGCGCTCGAGAGTCCGGTAAGTATGTGGATATTCGCCAAGTGGATGAAAGCATGCTTAAACATGTCGAGTGTTGAAGGAATCTTAGAACACGGATATCGATGATTCAAGCCTAAAAGTGACAATGGACAGACGCACAGTGAGATAGAGTTCAAGGACCGCAAAAGAGTCTGGTGTAATGAGGAAAGAGTGAGGTCCGAGAAAAAACGAGTCGCGGTCGAGGTCAGGCTACCTTGGGGAAATGAAGCATGTTTGAACGATCGATGTGGAAATCGATGTACGCGAACACATCGGTGAAATAGCAGGCGGTAGGCGGCTGCGAAGTCGGGAGCTGAGAGCAGGTGACGCAACAAATTATGAACACCTCACCTGATAAACGGGCAAAGAGTTTTGTTGGAAGCAGAATGGGGCCCAACCCGCTCGGGGGCCCGTGGAAAGAGAGAAGTACACTGCACTGCGATACCAATCAATGCTCATATAACATCCAAAACAAAACAAGAACGCACCGTCGCTGCGTTAACTCCAGAAGAAGCGCGAATCCGGAGCGCGGATCCACCCAAAGATACCGAGCCTCGCAACGTCGCCAGGAAGATTAGCGACAATCTATTCCACTTTAGTTATCCTGCGATTAGAATAGAAACAGAGGCCGCACCTGCGCGGAACGATATCTAATCCTCGTCGCATGAGGCAGTCAAAGCCCACCATTTGAGGCGGAGATAATACAGCGCCAGTGTATTGGCTACGTCGCGAATTGAGTGGGCACGTTAGCGCTGACGCGGGTAAATAGAACGGTGGCGAGTACGAATTTTGCGGGATTTCCGAGCCGCAGAGGGCGCCGAATCCGAGCGGCGGGCGTGCGGGTCCATTTGAAAGAAGGTGTGTGCAACACCGCGGTGACGTGTCCGAGCCGCAGGGGGCGCCAGATCCGAGCTGCGGGCGTGCGGGTCCATTGCGAAAGAATGTGGGTAGAACACTGTGAAATACATGAATCAAGGTGAGACGGCGATGCATGTACCCCTCACGCACCGGGAAAACAGCCTGTTAAGATTCCACTGCGGCAACGAACGACGCGCCCACAATGGGACGCAGGTCCGGAAGAAGACCGTGGTCAGGCTTTGGAAGAGCGCGAGAAACGTGCAGATGACGCGGAGAGAATTGTTCTCGTTCAAGCCAAAGCATCGCGCAAGATGCGCCGCGCCGCGTTACTGGGTTACTAAACCACCGAAGCCGCAGATATGAGAGAGGGAGAAAAGAACAGCCCACAGAAATGCGTACCTGAGGACGACACCGCCGGCGAGATGGAGGCAGGAAGCAAGGACAACCCCAGGAAGGCCTATTTCCATATCATCAGCACAAAAGAAGGCGCGTGGTTTTGCGAGCCGGAGAATACTAAAGTTGAATACGAGCGAAGAATATAATATTAAGGGAACAGGAAGACACGCTGGGAAGGATTCGGTGGGGAGTTCGCAGTATTAGGAAGACTATCACGTACCAGAGCGGAGTTGTATTCCGACATCGTCTCTCAACGATACCTTGTACAGGCAGCGGCGGCGCATTCAATGAAAGAGAAAGGCAATGCCGAACGACATCATTGCGAAATTGCATCCAGGCCGCGCGATGGAGGGGCGCTGTAAAATTCATACATCAATTGAAGCGGAGGAAGAGCAGAAGAGACCTTGGGGGTACGCACCAATGTCGAATTTCCCTCCATATCCCGCACCAGTACCCCACCAGCACCGCCTGACACCACAGAAAGACTACAAGGGATGTCCTGCGAGGATTCTACGCGCGAACGAGAACGAGAAACGCGCGGACTCGGAAGCGCAGTCTTGATCCATTCGAGCCGACGGATTTTGCAGTGGCCGTCTGGTTTTGCCACGGCGAGACGCGTGTCGAGCAAGTTTGGAGGCCCAGTAGAATTATCACGTATTCAATCATCCAGGGGAGCGCGCACTGGCAATGGGCGAAACCAGAAGGTGAGCGGGAGACAAAAGAGAGATTGATGATCAAATCGTAAACACACCACGCACCTTTTCCTTCCTGCCACCATGTCGTCCGGCGTCGAGACTCGACCTGCGCTGGCACACTGCCTTGCTAACCCTTCCGGGCTATTTTATGCTCTCCGCTCTACGCATCGGAGTCTGGCGTCGATCTCTTGGGCAGCCCAATCTCAAGACCACTCGATGGTATCCGCATTAATATTGAAGCCAAAGATTCGACCATGCCACGCTGTGGGTTAGGGGCCAGATAAGGGTTTCTTTCTTGGTGCGTCCCTTTCTTCTTGCCTTGCTCTTCTAGTCCTGCCTTTGCGCCTTTCAACCAATCCCAGGGGCTTTCATCTTTACTTTATTCATCGACTCCTTTGCCGGTTTGTTGGACCTTGTGGCAATCTTGTGGCAGTAATCCTGAGTTGCTCATACTCTGGGTCGTTCATCTGGTATCCTGCGCCTGAGAATAATGTGGAACTCAACTCGACTCCTCGACGCCACCGAACCGAGCCCTTGTTTTTTCCTCCCTCAACTGTTGTCGTGTCTTCGTCGTGACTCGACCGCTCCGGAATGTTAGAGTGTCAGTACCTCTCCACTCGTCTGTATACCATTCTTCACTTGCTCGCGTCGCTTCCCTTCCAGACTACGCCCGTCCTCGTTTCCGGGTCAGCGCTCACTTGACGCCGGGCTGACGCGTCGAGACTGAGATTCGGCTTTGAGGTGTGTTATGGCCAGATCTCCCCACGTCAATTGCTTACATCTTTTCTCGCCCCGGAAGGCCGATCGCAACGCTGAAGTTGTGCTCCAGCTTCTGCAATTATGCTCCGGCTTCCTGTACTACTAGTACCCGCGTGACGTCTTGAATTTTTGGTTTCTATCATTGCATCCATTCCCTAGCTCGCAGAGGCTGCGCGAAAGTTTACAGGTTGCCGGTCCAGCTCCACGTCGTCTTAGTTCTGACCAAGGACTTTCAACAACCACTGCCCAGCACTTCGAGAGCCATCTTTCAGCAGTTCATACATCTCCCACTTCTGCTCTCAAACGTCGCTGCTGGACGTCTCTTTCCGGCTCTTTCTCTGATACGACGTGGAAATGCCTAGGGGCTCGTATTGGCCTATACGAATCCAAACGAGTTCAAATCGCGCACGTCTGCACTTGTTTCAAACTTTTCGTTGAATACTCCGTCCTACTTGTTGTCGTCCGGCCGGCTCGCCATCGCCCTTACCATGATTGAACCCGATTTCTCTTTGGCTTGCTACGCTGCAATGGTGTATTCGATGGACTTGCCACATTGCAAATCCGTGGACCAGCTCCGTTATTCTACCTCGACTTCCACATTGATGTATTTGATCTACCTGAATACGCCAGGACGTCCCTGTGTGGAGAACAAGATTCTGAGATGCTGAACAGCTAATGGCTTATAAGCTCATTCGTCCAATCCGCCTACATGGAACTGTTCACAGTTCAGTCGCTCAACAAAAAGTATCAATGCGACGAGATTTAACGATCCCACAAATTAAACGGGGAGGAAAAATATATGGCCTGGCCCCGAATCGAACAGGGTGTTTCCTCGGAAATCGCTTTTTCTTGGGACCGTATGTTGAAAGGATGTGTTGCCTCTACACCACCAGACCGTACCAAACGCCGTTCATTCCGAACAGGCGGGGCATTTCTCGCAAACAAATTGCTGACAGCACCTGCCAAAATCTAACCCTGGTTGTCCTACCGACTCCGACTTCGTGGATGTGAGACGCCGCGAGGCGTATGAAGTTTGAAAACCTCGAGCTCAGACTTGACTGATTTGCGTTGGATTTGCGCCGGATATTTATCGCCGCGGGGTAGAAGTCGCGGATGAGACTTCCGTGAATGTGGTAGAGCATAGACCAGATTTGAGAACGGTCCAGGAGACACGCTGAGCTCGACGCGCGTGAAAACGACGATGGTGGAGGGAAGAGGCAACAAATGATCGCCGACACCGCCACGCGCCGCCGCGGCTTCCTTCCTGCCACCACGTCGTCTGGACTCTGGCGTCGACCTGCGCTGGACTCAGTAGTACTGCGGCATGCTGCACCTTCCTCGCTCCTCCTAACTCTTCTCTTCTCTCCGCTCTGCGCTAGCCCCAGCATACACGACCCGCCGAATCTCAAGACCACTGGCGGGAAGTCTCGAATTCAAGTTGAAGCCGAGAATGGATGGTAATTGGTATCGCCAAACGCTGTGGTTAGATGCGGGAGGAGACCGGATGTGGACGTATACCTGGTGCGCTTCTCGATTATCCATGGCTCCTCTTGCCGCTCGCTTTCCAGAGCTAACTGTGTTCTGGACAGATTCTCGCTCCGATGCCCCATTGTCACTCCCGCAACGCCGCAATCGCCCACACACAGGGTGCGTTCTCTTTCTTACCGTGCGATATCTCGCGCTTTCGCTCGTATCTGCCTTGCGCGAATCTTCAGCGCGGGGCTTGGGGGAAATGGATGCTGCGCGTAAAGAGATGCTGCCTGGCTTTTGCCGGGGAATGGCCCCTTGTCGATACACCGCCGTTGTGCACGCCCGAAGCCTCGTGATTGCCATCCCCTTCGGCGAAAAATTCTCGCGTTCAGTGGGCGAGCAGACGCGGTGGAAAGCTGCAGGCCATTGTTACCATCGTGCGACAACATAAGGCGCACAGCAACACGGGGTATCGACCTCCCTGCTCCCAACCTCGTGTTTTTCTGTCTCTGCTCTTCTTTTCAAACGCGTCTGCTAACCTCCTCCCCTTCTCCAGGATCGACGCTGTCGAGGCCGAGTCCCTCCGCCGGATCTTCGCCGCGCAGATGCTACCAGCCGCAATGCAGTCATTGGGATCGGTTATATAGAGGGTGCGTATCCTCCCTTCCATTTTCTTCTCTCCAGAGCGGACCTCGCAGGCCCAAGCACTGTTTCTTGAGGAGTCGCGGCATTATGCCAGTCGTTCTCCCGCAGAAGGGCGGTGTTGCCCGCCTCCTTGCAGTCCCGCTTGTCATTGTCTCTCCCCCGCGTTCTGTATCTGTTCCCTTCAACGACACTCCTTTTCATCTGTCATCGCGATCACGTCATGCTCTCGCCTTGCGCTGGCCGCATTTGACGATTTTGCCCAGCGGCGAGTGTGTGTGGCGGGTGGGTCGCTTGGTGGGGATGCACTTCAGGGTGTCAGGCACCACCTCCTCAGCGCCGTTTCACCTATCTACGCCGTGCTGTGATTGGGAGCGATGATCCGGGAGAATATCGTGGAATGGCGGATGTGTGGCTGGCACAATAACGCTGCTGGGCTCCCACCGCGGACGCTGCGGCGCCCTACCCGCTTTCGACCGCGCCTCATCTCTCTTCTTCAGTCTCATCGTCCGCTGTCGACACTTTACTGACATACACCTCGTTCCTCAGAACGTCAACAGCCGCGCCCGGACGCGTCAGTTGCCGCCGTCTCCACGACCGTCGACACCTTCCCCCAGGGACTTTGCTCATCAGGGTAGACGGATCGAGCGGGGACAGCGGGGACGACTCAAAGAGGGACACCGGCAGCGCCACCGACAAGAAGACAAGAACGACGTCGAGCGCACGCGCGTCGCCCGTGTCTGCGTCGCCGGAAGACAAGCCCAAACACCCCGTGGCTCACGCCCGATTCGCCCATCGCGCGCTCGGAGCGCGAGCGTGCATGAGCAACCCCCCTTGGCTCCCCGCGGGTTCGGCATGCCCGTTTCCCAGATCCCCTTCGTCGAGCGCAATCAGGAGGGTGGGGGGACTCGCGGCCTGGCATTGACGACGCCGGCGACGAGCACGAGGGCTGTGCATCCGCGCATCACCCGTGTCGTGGCAGTTACCCTTAAGTTAGCAGGAGCAAACAGGCGGCTCCACCCTTGCTGCCGCCGCGTTTTCTGGCGCTGCCCACCTCTGCCAAAGTGCGCTTCGCCCGCGCCTTGGCCGCGCCGACGGCGCGCCGTCGTCACCCCGCAAACAGGCCCGCGACATTGTGGACAAGCGGGGGCGAGGTGCGTGCATGTCGCGCGTTCACTGCGCGCACCCATCCACGAGCCAGTCCCCGGCGTACGCTCCGTTCGCGCCCGCCCACGCACTGCACGCCCTCCCTCGCGCTCGCACCTACACAGCTGCGCGTCCGGCTGGTGACGATGCACGTCCACCGCCGCGCTTCCCCCCATCGTCCTCGGGAGCAAGCCTTTGTCGGGCAGGCGGAACGGGCCGTTGATGTCGTCGTCTAGCGGACCAGCGCGCGCGATGCGGGGATGCGTGTTCTGGCCCGCCGCTGCCGTCTTCGTCCAGGCGCGCGCTCTGTGCGTGCGCCGCCGTGTCTCGCCGCAATGTCGATCTGCGTGCACCAGCGCAGCTTACGAAGTGCCGGGCCCGCGCGTCGGGCGGCTTCTTTGACGTCTTTGAGCGCGACGGGAAGGACCTTGGCGCCGTCCTTGAGCGCGGCTCCGTCCGCGTTCACGCCAGAGTGCGGATCTGCACGCGCCCGCGGACTTTCCGCCCCGCTGTCGTCTCCGTACGGGAGCTCTATCTCGGATGTATCTGTACCGTCGCCTTCGCGGGCGCGGGCGATGAGTGCGCGCTCGCATGCCATCGCGGCGCCGCAGATCCACGGATACGACGCCGAACGGAAGTCTTCGAAGGGTCGCATGCCTGTTTGGTGGGAGGTGGTGCATGGGAGAGCGGCTCTTCGCCCCGAGCCCATCGGCGCCGCCGCTCGCTGCGAGGGATAACAAGGCGATTGCGGCGGGATGGCGCGTCGATCTCACATTCGGCGCTGTGGCGGAATGGTCCTCATTTGAGGGGCAGCAAACGAGTATCTTCCCCCTCGACCTCTGCTGCCCGGCGGGCGGTCTTTCCCTCCCTCGCAATGTCAAGTTGCCCACAGCGGGCTTTTTATCCACCGCGCGCGCCCCTTGCTACACCGTACTGCACATTATTACCCGACGTTACAGTACACACTCGACCAGGTACATACCACTATCCATCTGTCTGTCGTACATACCACCTCCCGTGTCTGCCTCTCGGGCCACAATGATATCCTCTTCGGACTCCGTCGACTGCTTTTCTGCGGGTGTGTAATACCTTACCTTAGCCAGATGCGTGTGAGGAATCTATGAACGTCTTTCTCTCTCCTCACTTATTTCATTTCGGCGTGGATATTTCATAATGGATCCAAAAAAAATGGGTGGGCAAAAGGTATTAGCGGCGGGTGGAACGACGGCGTCAGGATTCAAATTCAAATACGTTTTATTGACTGTGTGATATATTTCACAGAAAGGTTGCGGTCTATGGTCGTTCAGGCCAGTGGGAATCCCGTATCCGTAGAGAGAGTTTTGAATTCATTGAATTTATTGCCCGCCTGAAGTCGTGAGTTCCTGGCTGGTATTTGCAGCTTTGCCCTGTTTTCTTGAATTGAGGCCGTGTTGGGATTTCAGTCGGGCGAATTCCGAGTTCCAAAGCGTTCAAACAGACAACGATGATGTTTTGCAACAATGCAAAGAAGCCATCCGAGCACACGCCATTCCGAAAGGATAGAGGCATGATTCGCCCTCGAACTTGAATCAAACGTCGGGGAATATTGCGAACTTGGCAAAATGAACCTGAGCTTATCTCTGGCAGGTGCGTACTCGTGAACATTGCTTAGATATCGCTATCCATTCGGATCCCAGCAGGCCTAGACTCCAATTAGGAATAGTGCATGCTTAGATATCTCGCAACTCCAAGTCGAGCGCTGCATTGAAGTCGAAACTGCTGACCATGAGCACCCAATAATCTGCCAACGAAAATGAGACGCACCGTTGTCGGCTCCAATGCTTTGTGGCTCGGATGCTGCAAGTTACTTGTGGCGAGACGGACAGAAACACCCGCTGCACGCCAGAGTCTCATCGGAACGAGAGAAAGCGAAGAAAGAAACAAAACCAGCGAGTATTCCGTGCGATGTCCGAACCGTTCAGCCCGTCTGTTCGAAATTAGGGAGACAACGATCTCCTCTGCTGGATGCCCAGAGGAAAACGGATTGTTTTGTACAGCTATTCGGTGCAGAAGAGTGTATTCGTATGAGTTGCTTGAATTCATAAGCGAGAAGTTGTACTTTTCGGTGATACGCCTGAGTTGAACGAATAGCCGGATATAAAGCCTGTGATCGTCATTGAAAGGGAGCAGAAACGCGACAGAAATCTTCGCCAGTCGTCTGCAAATCGGTTTGAGCCATCACACGTCCGAGAAGCGTCTCAAATATACGACACGCGGCCGATAAATTTTGCGTCTTCAGGGCAAGACCAGTTGGAAGGATAAGAAATACATTGCAGGTGTTATGTACACAATATTGAACTGTGGAGATATACGGTAAGCACGTCTGCAATGGTACACGGTCACGAAATACTCACCTACACATTTTCCATGGCCGCCTTCCTCATCGCGTGCAACTCAGCCCATGGCGGCAAATCGAATATACCCGGAAGCCGGTCCCAGAGCTTGTCGAGCGCGTCGGAATGCATAGTCTGTGCCTTCTGTAAGCATGGGGAACACATCCCGTGCTCCGCTATGTGCGTCCATTCGGGCCGGTCCCAAACTTGCAGGGGATTCACATCGAGGTCATCAGCGACGTAGCTGAAATATAGTTCTACACCCT